GCATAAAAAAACTTGCTTCCACGATAGCAAATAAAAAATAACAATTAACCATTTTACCCGAGTTAAATTATATATCATAAAGAAAAAATAATAAGTTTGGTTTAATAATTTTTATTTCTACCCCCATAATAATTTTCTCTCACTCTATTTAACTTAATCAGACGATTTCTCTCCTATTATGTATGATTGATCAAAGTCTGGTATTATTGATAACTATATGATAAATAATATGAGTAATATTATAATGATAATGTCATTGATCTAGATGAAATCCTATTTCAGTATTAAATAAGGCAAAAGTAAAATTTATTGTTATCTTTTTAAAGACTATAGTTTATATATATATATATATCAAAATGGTTAAAAAAAATAAAAATAGGTACGTACTAATATGTAGTATATTGTAGTAAAATAGTAATTACCTTATTAGCTCTTTTTGTAGGGCTGCACCTTGTTTGGTCCTTCTATGTGATGTTGCACCAAAACCAGTAGTAACACCATAACTATCAGTCCCATTTCTCATCCCTTCCATCACCCAATCACTACTAGCCTTGACACCAGCTCGGGCCGCCTCTGATAGTTGCACAGTCACGTCTTTACCTGACTGTGCAGCTATGGCGGCCACTTGAGCTACTGTCAACGTCTCCCCTCCTAACCTAACCACCGGCTTCCTATACTCCTCCACCATTTTCTTCACCGCATCTAGGTGGCTACCCTTTAGCGCGTCAGCGGACACGTTCCAATTCAACGGATCTTGTTGTTGTTGAGCCTTAACGCAAAATACTTGATCACCATTACTATTTCCATTAACGTACTCCATTATTTTTATCGTAAAACAATATTGAACAAGGGGAAAACAAACTATTTTGATAAAATAATTGAGATAAAAGGTGCAATGTATATATCAATATTTTTGGTTGTTGGGATTAGGAAATTGCAAAACTTATGAGCAATAAATTAAGCTGAATTTCCTGAGTTTGTTGAGCCAAAATGTTAGGTGTTTAAATAGAAAAGGAAATAATACTTTGCAGGCCAATGTGTTAGTTGAAGATTAATCTTGACCGTTGGATTGCACATGGTAATCGACGGTTACGGTTGGTGACACGTGGAGATCATGAGGGTGGTTGTACATAGAAATTTTGAAGGAATGGCAGCCAAGTATAGGCTTCTTCTTCTCACTAACAACAACACAAACAAAAAAAAAAATATCACCAACCAAATTTAAAGTCAAATGGAATAAAAAATACGCGATACGAATTTAAATTTAATGAAGTTATGTATATCAAACAAATATTAAGTGAAAAATAGTAGAGAACAAGTAAAGGGTTCATTTGATCCCAATGGATATCTTTTTTCTAGATAAGTATTTACTTCTAATTTTGATGAAATATAACACTTAAGGAAATTACCTTTGAGAATAATATTTGTTGATATAATGAACAATTATGTAGATGAAACATTAGATTGTCATCTCACAATTGCAATAACTTATGAATACAAAATTTAAGATTTTTAGATCTTCGTTTAAAATACAGTTCATAATTCATAAATTACAGAGAATTTTTTTAAAAAATAAGATAATTTTCCTAAATGATATCTCAAAAAGGATAATTGATCGATAAATAAATCATCAATTCAATAATAAAAGTAAAAGATTTTGAACTTTCATAATTAATTAGGTTGAGTATAATATATAAATTTTAGATTTATTTTTATGATTTATAGTTCGAAATTGAAAACGAAGTTTCATTGTAAATTGCATGGTTGGTGGGAAGGAAACGTCATTTCATACTTGAGGAATATGTAAAATGAGAAGTTTTAGGAGTTAGTATTAAATTTTTTTACTTTGATTAGTAGGCATGTACAAAAAAGAATATTTCATAAAGTTATTATTTTTGGAATTATAAAAAAATTTCTATGTAAAAAGAAACAATAATCATAAATGATGATTTTTATAATATAATCTGATACTTATATTGGAGTTCGAATTACTTCAAATTCTAATTGATCAAGACTCATCTAATTAGGGAATGCTTCCTAATATGATCTTTTTTATATCCGAAATCTAAATTATATACTTTTTATTAAGAATGAAGCGGTTGAGAAATCATATTTATGTTATATAAATAATGTGGGGTTTGAAGGTGTGACAGAGATTATTCATTTAAAAGTATTTTTTTTATTTTGTCTCACATTATTCGATATTATCTACTTTTGAGTCTTGATTTATTTGAATTCACATAATAATAATAAAGCTTATAAAAAATGCTATTTGTAGTAAGTTTTTTTTTTTAATTTTCGAAATCCAAATTTTTGATTAAAAATGAAATAATTCTTTTCGTACTATCACATCCCTCATATAGTTACCTACTTTATTGGCAACCTACTATATCATTTATTAATTAATTAATATATATATATATATATATATAATATATTTATGAGTTGGAATGTAGTACCTCAACAAAACTTTATAATATACTAATAAATATATGTACTAGTTGCTTGGACAAAAATATAGTGTTGTTACATTATGCCGATTATTTTCCAAATTTGTATCGTAATAAAATTTGAATATACGATTATGATGATTTTAAAATTTCACTATTATCTTTTGAAATTATTATTTATTTATTATTTAAATGCGTATGTATAAAATATTTAACGTTTTATTTTGTGATTTTTTTTATTTACATCTTTTACCATAACATTTTTTTTCTTTTTAAGATTTTGACTCAAATTTCACCATATTTGCTTCATTTTTTTTTCTTTGTATGTGTACATTTTCTTTATTAATACTTGCATTGAGAATGAATTGTTGCACCAATAAAAAAAAATTTGGGGGTGGGTGGGTGGGGGTGGGGTGGGGGGGGGGGGGGGGACAAGGTTTATAAGAAGCTACCTACCATGCAAGAAATAACCACTTGTACATTTTCCAACAATTTTTTTTTGGGTATTTGGTTAGGAAATGAATTATCTATCGAAAAAAATATTTACTATGGAATTGATTTATGTCATCTAGAAATAAAAACATATAACATTCATTCGACTGATATAATATACTTATCTCGAATCTTAGTATAATAACAATAACGTATTGTTGTTAGTTAAACCATAACTATTGGGATGATTATGAAAAAGAAAATGACTTTCAATTAAAATCGAGAAAACTCTTTTTTTTCTGAAAATTATCTTCAACAACCACACAAGGAAATTTGACTTGTATTATTTTTAAAATATTTTTCTATCCTAATAAAACACAAACTAGATGTGAACTCAACTTTCTTGAATTACTTCCTCCACCATTCTATTGACTTCATCATAACAATTTTGAATGAGTCAATATACATGAATTTTGGTCTAAATCAAGAATATAAATTTCCATCAATTCTTTTTTTAATCTTTTCTTATTAGATTGAAACTTTGAAAATGTAATAATTGGCTTTCTTTCAAGATTGGTTTAGCAAATATTTCTACTTTAAATTGCATTTAAATAAATAAAAAAAGGTGGTATATGTCATGTTGATAGGTTTAAGTAACCATATTGGTGGTAGGTTTGATTATGGATGGATAATGTAAAATAAATAAATATAAGTAATAAGTTGGTAAAATAAAACATAAGTGTACTTCCTAATGAGATTTTATCAAGCCTTGCTAAACAACCACCACCATATAAGTTATTGGATATTTGTACCTTTTTGTCATTAGAGGGGTTGGTGAAGTTGGAAAAATAAAAATATTATATAAAAAATAGAGGGGGTTGGTGAAAGGACCAAATCAAATTTATCAACTTTTTAAGGGGGCACTATAACATTTTTATTTTATTTTTAACTTTTTTTGTGTGAGATTTAATGTAAATGGATAAAATAATTATATTTTTGCGAGAACTTAGCCATGAAAATAATAAATAAAAAGGTAAGGAGATATATTAAAGACGAAGAAGAATAAGAAGTAGAGCGAAAACATTTCTTGTGTGAGATTTAATGTACATGGACATAATAAATTAAGTATTCCATAGAATCGAAAGCTATATATGTAAATATATAACACACACAAGTATAGCAAGTATTCTATTGTTGCTTATAAACATTCCTTTAGTCTTTTTAAGGTTATCTTTCACTATCATGTTTCTCCCCCACCTCCTCCTCTAGGTTAGTCATGTTTTTCTCAATTTTACTGATTTCAAATTCTTGTTCATCTATTATCATCCTAATTAAAGACAAACATCTTTATCGAATGATAATAATATGATTTACGATGAAGCAAAAAACTATTTTGACCTAAATAAGAAAAATGCATCAATTGCTACCAAGATGTAAAACTTCCTAAAATATGAGTTAAATAATCCCTTGAAAGGTCAATCAATGCATTTCATTTAAGGTTAAATACATAAACAGATCTATAAACTTGTTGGATTTTTTCCTCAGGTATCTCAACTACGTCATTTTTCTATTGATCATTGAACCACACATAACTTATTTCTTTAAAACACTGTTGGTTGATTTTGATTCGCTTTTCTATTGTAAACGCCTTCAATTGTGTTCGAATTGAAATAATTTTAATTAAATAAATGAAGACAAACCGTGTTAGCCTCATTTGTTTTCTAATGTGTTAAAATGACTTAAATAAAACACAATTATTCTCGAACATTTTCACTATCAATTGGACTAATGAGTTGTGGAACAACATATGTATCCTCTATCAATACCCCTCACAGATCTGGTTCCACATCAGACAACGGTGCTTGTTTAAACGAAACAAATTATGGGGATTCAATGATTCAATAGGAAAATGACGTAGTTGAGGTACCTGAGGGAAAAAACCCAACAAATTTAAGGATCTGCTTATGTATTTGGCCTTTATTTAATTTTATTTTTATTAAGGATGATGATGATTTGGGCCTCATTTGATCAAAAAATTTGGGCCTTATCTATTTTGGAAAGTATAAGCCCAAATTTATTTAGCGGGTCGGATCAAAAATCACTTTAATGGATAACAATCAAAATTTGGCCCAAACTTCGATCCATTACCGCCCAGGCCCAATTACAACTTCGCTAATAGCTATTTCTTCTTCAACAAGTTGATACCACTACAAAAATTGCTTTTCTCCGGTGAATTCCTTACGATCTCTTTCTCCGGCGATATCTAGATCGTAAGTTCTCTATTTCGTTAGTGTAAAAGCTTGATTTATTATCTCGCATCTAGTATTGTGATTTTCTACTTGATAATATGCATTTTACTTTGCTTGTTAGGTTATAAATGTGCTGAATTTTTATGGTGTATAAGAAGAGGGGAAAATTTTTAATGATTTTTTTTTGAGTTCTCTTACACTTGGATGGAAGTGATAAGTTTCAATTCGTTTATATAAAATGATGATTGATAAAAAAAATTTAGTAGTAGTTTAACCAATTACAGCAGGTAATTTTGATATGCTTTGATGAGATTGTAAGTGAGATGTGCTCAATATTTATTTGATGATGAGACTTTGGTGAATACACTGTTACCTGTATTTCAAAAAAAATAAAATATAGCAGTTTGTTTGCTTGCCATGTTATAATGGTGCTGAATTTCTGACTGTGTAGTAAGATGCCTTTGGGTGTTAATAAGCAATGTTTCGAGGACTAGTATTAGAAATACAGATAAAAGGCGTATAATACATTTTTATGAGGCTTTTTGATCTTTTCAGCACTTGGGATGGAAGTGATAAATTTTAATAAACTGATGCGATAAATAATCTTTAGGTTTGTCCTTGATAAAAATTAACCTTTATTTTGTTGATGAGCGTGGCGTATGTGCCAACTTGTATGCTCCTCGACTAATTCCATAGGGTACCTGTTTTCCACCAAGAAGTACCAATTAACTCTGTCCACGAAGACTTAGATAAGTGGAAAGAAATCAGCGAGTATTTTTGCCCTCGGCTTGAATTTGAACATAAGACTTCCGTGTTCTCAACCTACTTTATTGACCACTAATCCTTTTATCTCAAACCTTCCAAATGTCCACAACCATTTTGGTTCCTAACTATGGACTATCAGCATTTGATATCAATTGATTTAAGTTGGCACTTTAATCCAACTGAGGCTATATGGAATGCCTTCAGTTAAGTTTAGTATGTTGGAAAGCTTTGATAGTTAGGTTCTCTCTTAGTAGTCGATCATCTTTTTGTCTATTGCGATTGTTAAGTATTACTGAGTGAAATGTATTTGATTTATCAGTTATTGCAGCTTAAGGTTGTAAATGATGAAGATCGATTTTAGTGGACTTGAACCAAGTGCCCCACTTCGAGGGGAATCTTCTGAGCTGTTTGATGGAATTTCAAATTCTCCATCATTCCATCTTCCTAATACTGCTAATGTGAGTCTGACTATTTTTCTGTTGTGTTCAATTATATTCATTTAATTGGGGATCTATTGAGTCCTAATTCTCTAAATATGTTTACTTGTTTTCCCTCTGTGTTCTTTTAGTTTGATGGTTTTCAAAAAGAAGCAATCCAAATGGTGAAGCCCGCAAAGGGAACCACAACCCTTGCTTTCATTTTTAAAGGAGGTGTCATGGTTGCTGCTGATTCTCGGGCTAGCATGGGAGGATATATATGTAAACCCTTTTGCTCATTATTGTCTTTATGATAAACAATGTGAAGAAATTCATCAATTACTTATCATCTCTTTTACTGATATGAACATCCATTTATCTATGGCTCTTGTGTTGTGACCTTGCTGGCAAGAGAACTTACTACCCTCTGCCCCTGCCAAATGACTTGATATAACCATATTCAGTGGCCCATAGGACAATCAAGACCTCATTGTTTTCATGATTGAGTTTTTTTGGGTGCAAGTGAAGCTGTATTTTCCCGGTTTGAGGATAAAATGTTATTGGTTTTAAAAGTGTCCACGTTCTACAAAATTTTCTGCTGTTGTCAATATCACTTTAGTTATTGGTACAATGACTAGAACTTGGAATTAGTACCTTAACCAGGGTGTTTTGATATAATAGAGACATAAATAATATAGACATAATCTGATTTCTTAATGATCAGAAAAAGAAAAGTCTGATTTATCGGGTATCTGAAACGTAAACTATAATCAACTTCAATTTTTAAATGGTTGTTTTATGGACTTACGCTATATGAGACTTGTATATGTTTTAGTTTTGGGTGTGTCATATTTGACTGTCAAGTTCTTCCCTTGAGGAATGTGAATTCCAAATTTTAGGTGATAGACTTCTACTTTGTTTGGCTGTACAAATACTCTTTTAAGTGTTATTCCTTGATCTACCGCATCTCTTTTAATTTGGCCTGTCCTTTTAAGATTTCCTTTCCTTGTAATATTTCGCAGCATCTCAATCTGTGAAGAAAATCATTGAAATTAATCCCTATATGCTTGGCACAATGGCTGGTGGGGCTGCTGACTGCCAATTCTGGCATAGAAACCTGGGAATCAAGGTATTTGGTTATAAACTACTTATGCTTCCTTTTCCGAGTTGCTTTATTTACCCATTTTTTCCAGGGGAGTACTCGATATAAATCAATTTTGGACCTCTACATTTCAGAGACACCCTGTATTCTAGAGAATTTTAATGCTTCTGACTGCATATATTTATTTAGGATGGGTGTGTTCTCCCTTCACTCAAGAGTAAAAAAAAAAAAGAGATAAAGGAAAAAGGATGAGTATAAGCTAATAATAATAATGGAAATATGACCACATTGAATGGGTAAAAGAAAGAAATGACTAAAAATAAGTACTGATGTTAACGAACTAGTTCTTTGAAAGTCTTTACTTGTTAGCTTCTTCCAGACTAAGCCCCCGTCTGTTGGCCATCTTTCGATCTGCAGATTAAGGTCTCCTGAAGTTAAAGTCTAATTCTGCTTATTCAACAAAAAAAAAGGGTGGGGGATGGGGAGGGGACATTTATATCCTCTACCCCTGACCCATTTGCAGAACAAAGTTCTGAACTTTTTATTTTATTTTTCATAAGAGGTAGTAGTATGGATTTTGGCTTCATGTACTTTGGAAGAGTTGGTCACCTGTTTCTTTTTGTGGTTCAGTGCCGTCTTCATGAACTGGCAAACAAAAGGAGAATTTCAGTTACTGGAGCTTCAAAGCTGTTGGCAAACATTTTATATTCGTACCGTGGAATGGGTTTGTCTGTTGGAACTATGATTGCTGGTTGGGATGAGAAGGTAGTGAAAGATAGATGCTGGTAAAGTTTGCAAAATGTCAAATTCCTTTTTTCTTACTAATATAAAAGCTTGATTTCGCAGGGTCCAGGACTATACTATGTGGATAGTGAGGGAGGACGGCTTAAAGGAAACAGATTCTCTGTTGGATCTGGTTCTCCTTATGCTTATGGTGTTTTGGATAATGGGTGTGTGTTCTCTTCCACATTTTTGTATCAGCATTTCCATGGTTTCCCTTGTGTGTACTTGAGAATGATTGTTAACTAGAATCGTCATATTTGTATGACAAAGGTGACTTTCACACATCATAATACTCGGTCTTTTTGTAAATGGCTTGTACATATTGATGTGCAAAAGACTGCATTCACGAGAACTGAAGGGTGGGTGGTTGCAAACGTTTCAAAGTGACTTCATAGTTTATTGTGCTGATCAGTTTTGCAGCTTAAACTCATGCTTCTGACACACTTTTAACTTATGGAAACCACTGAACTCTGCTTTCTATTCTAATTCTTATTTTCCTCCCTACGCTGTTTCACTATAGGTACCGATATGATCTATCTGTGGAAGAAGCAGCCGAGTTGGCTAGACGAGCAATTTATCATGCTACATTCCGTGATGGAGCTAGTGGAGGTGTTGCTAGTGGTATGTTTCATGAATCTCATCCACAAAAAAAGAGGAAATGCAATATTAGTTGGCTTTCCCCCGTCTTTCTGTTGTATATTCGTTCCATGGTCTCTGTATTTGTCATTAACTCGTGGATTGTTTCAGTTTATCATGTCGGACCAAATGGATGGAAGAAGCTATCAGGTGACGATGTTGGAGAACTCCACTACCACTACTATCCCGTCGAAGTGGCAGCTGTGGAGCAGGAAATGGCTGAAGTTCCAGTTGCCTGAGGAAAAACAAAACCAAGATCAAGATCAAAACATGTGCTCATCTTTGCAAGTTAAAGTGACTGTTTAATTTTCTTCTGAGACTGTATTTTGTGGTCTTGCAATCTGTAAAACCGTAAAAACATATTTAAACCAAACCAATAGATGCAAGGCTATGTTTCATTTCATCACTTAATTATATGTACACTTCAATTTTCAACTGTTAAGCTTGAATTATCTCTGCAGGGTTATCGGAAACAGACTTCCTAAGGTTATCCTTTTCCTTTTAGGCTCCACTCGTGGGATTACAAAAGATATGTTGTTCGTGGGATTACAAAAGATATGTTGTGATAATGTTAAATTATGGAGTTTAGCATAAACTCTAGGTGCAGCCTACAGGTAAGATGAAACACCAATTAAGTTTGTTTAAAGACAAGCCTCATATACCAAAACACCTATTGATTCACTAAATAAAATAAAAGCTTTATTAGAGCAAATTCTAAGTTTGGTAAGAATAGTTTTTATGTGTCAACTTTAAAAAAATAATCTAATATTTGGCTTGAGTTTCATGTTTCTTGGTTTTCACAAAATAACAAAAAGAAATGAATTTAGATACTCCATATTTTTTTAGTTCATATGTACTAGCAGGAGTAATTTGAATAATATTTCAATAAGTCGTTTCGAATATCCACTATATTGTAATTTAATTTGTTTTAATTAAATAATGTTATAAAGCTAAGGTTACTATTTTTCACTAAATATATGTATATTAAATAACTAGTATTAACTTTAATATATAAAATGAAACAAGAAGAAACACCCACCCCTTTCTTCGTTTAAATTAAATTAAATACTAAAAACAAACAAAAGCGCTAAGCAGGCAGCAATTGAACAAGTGATAATTGGAGCTGCACGACTGACGAAACGACCGCTACCGGCGACGGCGAACGGCGAACCGCTCATTGAAGTTATTTTTTTGTTTCATCAGATCTGATTATCTCTTTTATAAGTATGTATCTCCTTCATCTGCTTTTTGGTTCTTGTTTATTGAAATTTTTCTTTATTTATGCATCTTCGGTATGTTTTCGCAATTGAATTTCTTTGTTTTTTTAGTTCTTTGGAGGCCTTGCCCTTGGCAGCTCTCTATCTTCTGTTTGATGTGACTCTGTAATTATATAGAGTTCATTAACTTTGAGTGTATACTGTGTAGACATTTGATTTAAGCTAAGTTGATTTCGACAATGCAAACTTCAGCCTCATCACTACATAACTTATTCTTGGGGAAGAATCTCAGCTATGCACCACCATATACACTTAGCAGAGCGCTGGATTTCATACCTGCTATGGCATCGTCTTCAGTAGGTATGTCTGATATTGAATATATTAACATTTATCTTTTCTATTGGCATTATGAGTATGTTTCTCTCTTTTGAACTGTACAGGACCTCAAAGGCTATCCGTACAATGTGGAGTTGGGTTCCGCCCTTGCATTGACATACACAAGGTATACCTGTGTGTGTGTTTTTTTTTTAGGTTTCCAGTGTTTGAGCTATTTATACCTTTCAAATTTTTGTGAATACTTATGCAATGCTTGGTGCCCTTAGTAGTAACTTGAGATTATGCATTTGAGAAGTTTGACAAACATTTCACTGTATTTATGGATGGGGCTAGGATATTATATGAGTAAAACGTTGGAGTTTCTTTATCCTTGCCACCTTGTTGTGCCATATCAAATGATTTTTAGTACATCACTGCTTAGCATTGGCAGTGCGAAGTATATGTGTATACCATAAACCAGGTAGTGAAGAACTAATATGTATTTGGTTGCATAGAAAGAATTAAAAAGAAGACGAAAACGTGCAATTACTGTTGGTGTTCATTCAGTATTTAATAGCATTTCATTTGGGAAGTTGAATCAAATAGGTAAGTAACAAAGAGGGGGGCAAACTATTTTTCTTTATCTAATTACCTTTCAAGGTTAAAGAGTTTTGAGTTTGTTTCATATGCTTGGGAGATGAGTTTTTCTAGGTGCTAACATAACATATTTGTAGATATCCTCAAGATAGTTGAAAGATTTTACCTGAAAATTTCATTTTTGTAGGGAAAAGTGAAGCAAATTGTTGGATCAACTCTTCGAGATTCTAAGGAGGCAGATACAAGCCTGGTAACTAACTTTGAATCTGATAAATCGGCTGCAGAATATGCAAAGCTTTACAGAGATGACGGCCTTGATGGTGGCCATGTGATTATGCTTGGTGCTGACCCCTTGAGCATAGCTGCTGCTACTGAAGCATTACATGCTTACCCTGGTAGGTACTGGTCCTTATCTAATAAGTTCTTTTATGATGGTTTTCATTTTTTTAGGCATACCAATGCTTCTCGTCAATCTTTCTTCCACAACACAGTATGCTATTACCTGGTTTATCAGCTGTTGGCCATTTTATTATAGCTTCATTTGGATCTGTTTGCTGAAAATATATATTACTAGACACAGGTGTTATGATAAAGTGTATACATGGTTGATACGTCTCAACTTACAGATTTTTCCCTCTGGTGATATCCTTCGAGGGTGAAACATCTAGGTGGGTTGCAAGTTGGAGGGGGAATCAAAACTGAAAATGCTTTGAGTTACATTGAAGAAGGAGCCAGCCATGTCATTGTCACATCGGTATGTATTCATGATTAATTTCTTGTGAAGTAGCAACTTCTTTTGCCATATTTTTCAAATTTTCAATTTGTGAGGATATCTTACTGTCATATTAACAATTATTTAGTATTGGACCTTAATTGAGTTGCACAGTTGCTGAGGATACTTTCACATAACACCGTCAGCACCCTCTCTAAGGATATCTCATATTAAGAGATTTGAATACAAATACCTCTTTAAATGATTTTGTGATATTGTTGAAACCCCTAATTTATTGTACTTTGAATGTCCTACATTAGGCTCTAGGTCCATTTTCTTATCACCTTAAACGTCAAATATTTAGTATTAGTAGAAAAAATCAACTTTGATAGAGCTGAATGATATGGCAGATCATCTAGGTGAACCAACTAATATGGGATTGAGGCCTAGTAGATCTATTGATTGCTTATTTCGTGAGAATAGAAGTTGTTAATGGCCTACTAGACACCCATGTTTTGAATTGATTCTTCTCTCCTTTTTGTTTTTCTAAGTTCTTGAGGGAAAGTGGAGCAGCTAATACTTTCCCATCTTTACTCCTTATCATAATTGCTTAATTCAATAAAACACCAATCAAAAAAAGTACTTCATTCAATTTTTTTTTAAAAAGTATTAAATAAAAATAAAAGTTGCTGAACAAGGAACAATTTGTAAACCATCTGATTGTTGTCAGCAAAACTTGTTTTCTACTAAAAATCAGATAGAAGTTCCTGAATATGAGCTCAGAATAGAATAGACCTTAGCTGCTGTAGCAACAAAGTAGTGAAACAATGAATATTTCTGATCTTTCACTATGATTTGAAGGTTTCAGAAAAGGCATTAATTTGGTTCTTCTTAAATTTGTTGAACTCCTCAAAATCTCTTTTCCCAACATTTTGCATAAAAAGAACCATGAAATGCCTCATCTAATACAGAACAGTGAAAATAATCCAAAAATGTGATAACTTGTGATTCTAGATGAATGGCCTTCTAGGCCCTATCCAAAAATAATTATCCTACTTGATCTTCTTTGTCTGATACTTATTGTCTATATTGCAGTATGTCTTTAACAATGGACAAATGGACCTTGAGAGACTGAAAGAACTTTCTTCCCTCGTTGGAAGAAAGAGGCTTGTTTTGGATCTTAGTTGCCGTAAAAAGGTATTCTCTTTTCCAATGAAATTACCTTTCATAAAAGAACTTAAGTTAAAAAGGCATCTGCATTTTTGGTGCTCCTAGAAAGAGAAGTTCAGATTAGTGGAAGACTTTCTCGTCTAAAATTGGTTAGGGTATGAATAGATGAATAAATTTGTAAAATTAGATTCAGTTACTGCTCTTCCTTTCTTCTGCCATGAGAGTTTAATCCAATGACTTGAAACAACATACAGGAGGGTGAGTATGTCATTGTCACAGACAGGTGGCAGAAGTTCAGTGATGTACATCTCAATGAGAAAGTCCTGAATTTTCTTGCGGAGTACGCTGATGAGTTTCTGGTTCATGGTGTTGATGTTGAAGGCAAAAAGTTAGTTCCCGTACTTTGTCCGATTTACTATCTTTGTAGAGATTCTGAGTTGTGACAACAATTAACACAATTGTTTTAATGAAAAGTTTTCTGTAATTCTGATCTATTATCTTGTGAACGGGCTTTATGTATCTTTCAAAATTTCACAATGCCAATGACCGAACTAGGTAATCCCTTGACAGTTAGTCTAGAACAACAGGGGTTTTATGAGGGTAGAATGTACACACACCTTACCCTTGCATCAGTGGTAGAAAGTGTTTCCGATAGACCCTCGGCTCAAGGAAGAAACAGTCCAAAGTAGTCTGGGTAAAGAAATTTGCATTATACCCCATGACATTGACAACTAGGTTCTAGGCCAACAAGTGTCCCAATTGCTTGCTTATGAAAAATGAGAAGAAAAAGATTGAAGAATTGCGATTTTGTTGCAATTTAAAATAACTTTTTGCTCTGTCGGTCCAATAAAGTAACTCTTTTTAGCATACTGTGCTGACATATATGTACTACAAATGCACTATCTGGTTGAGGTCTGACCTTAAATTTTATATTTTCTTGACTGGCGTTGAGTTACTCCCCTTTCTATTAATAGCTTGTATCATTTGCTAGACTGATAATGAGGAAATTCTCATGACTATCTTTATTATTATTGAGTAAAGGTCTATTGCCCGTTGACTTAATAAAAATATCTGCTGTTGCTGCTGAATAGCTAAAGGAAATATCTTATGTTGCTTGTATTATTTTTTTGCAGCATTCTCAAAATATAGTATAAGTTCCTCGTGAGAGATTGTACTTAAAGAGAAACATAATTTGGATATTCATATCCACCATGTTAATCTGACATATGGTTCATAAATTATCTGTTTATCGAGAAATTTGTCATATGCTTCGTACATGATCTGCTAATTAAAAAATCTAACATGTATGGTTCTTGTGTAACACAGGCTGGGAATAGATGAGGAGCTTGTAGCATTGCTTGGAAAGTATTCCCCCGTAAGTGTACATGATTATTTACCTA